GGGGAGTGGAAGGGTTATTCCAAAGTCAAAGTAAAGAGGCAAAAATAATAATAAAAATACAGTGTATTAATCTTAACTTGGTCCTGGTTTTTCAAAACCTAAGAACTTTTTGAGACAACCAGAATACAGCCTGAGATTTTTAGGTGTACGGGGTTTAGGTGGTAACGAGAATTTTCTTAGGTGCAACAGTAATTTTGTGGCTGTGTAGAATTATGTCTATTTTTTATTTTTTTAGTCACATGCTGAGGTATTTAGAGGGAAGTATACAGAGATAAAGTGCTAGGATGTTTTCAATATACTTTGAAATAGTTCATAAAGTATATAGCTACTACGGATGAAGCAAACATGGCAGAATGTTATAACCACTGGGGGGTGGAATTCTTCCCACTGGTCTGGGACTTGAAGATCCACACTGGCCGCCCCACACCCACACCCCTCTCCTTTGGCCCAGGGACTGCCCGGGAGCTTCCTTCCTGGGACTCCCCACAGCTGAGAGAAGCTCCCGCAGAGACGACACAAATGCACCGCCCAGGCTGTGGCTGACTGCATCCCGCCGGCCTTTGTGAGACCGTTTCGTGGTAAGCAGTCAACCTGCTCCAGCCCAGTGCCCTCTATTCAGACGAACGCAGGGCTGGAGACCCAGATATACCACAGAGCTGACCCACTTGGAACAAAGAGCCACGGCCGCCTCACATGGTGCTGTGGACCCGCTGGGGCCAGGCTGCAGACTCGCCCCGAAGAAATGTGGTTCTCATAGGGAAAGCGCGGGTGGGAAGATGTGCCCAGCATTATTCTAGCTGCAAGCTCAGTAGTTTTAAAAATCGAGAGAGATACATGGCAAGTGCAACCCGGGACTGGCTCATGGAAGGAAATCCTCCAGCCCTGGAGCTCTGGCAGGCGGGGCCCATGTGTCCCGCCTGCTCCACGCCAGCCACAGGCTGTTTCTAGAGCCCAGGACCCAGGTCACCATGGCCACACCTTTGATGACCACCCACCCAGCTCCACCTGGTCAATGATCAGCTGGAAGCAGAGGGCTGGTGGCTCAGGGGCCGGAGCTCAAACACCTTGCACAGCCTCAGCCGGGCGAGCGGCCCCTTCTCAGCTCCACTGCGGGAGGAGTTCCGTCCTTTCTCAGGGGAAAGACTGGGTGCACTGGTTCTACAGCCCCTTCCTCCTGACATGAAACTGCACAGTGAAAACATGCTCTAAAATAATTTGTGATGCTGCAGTTATTAAACAAATGAAACTTAAATGCATTCACCAATTCAAAGTGACCAGCTGTGCTCTAACGCACTATTTAAGAACAGGAGAAGGTTATACTCCTGTGCAGACTGTGTTCTGGATTCTACATGGGTTCTAGAAGGGCTCTCAGATTCCATGTGTCCAACAGCATGACCCCCACACCCCAGTACATGCAGCTTATCCCTCGAGCTGAGCAGGGTTCCTGGCCTCTAGCACCTCTGGTTGCTGGCCTTTTCCTGATGCTCCCATGCCAGCAAGCCAGTGTCAGGGTGCAAGGCCCACTTTGCTGGGTGAGGGTGCACATGAGGTCGGTGCCCAGCTCACAGACAGGGAAGAAAGGAGTCCGCTGATTCGTTGACAGCCCAGCAATACCATAAAGCTTGCAAACCTCGGCCAATCAGAACTGTTAAAGACTCTCTAAAGGAGCCCTACACACCAGCTCACCTGTGAACTCAGACCAAACATCCTGCATTAACAGAGGGGAAATGCAGACAACATGACCGTCAGCTCAGAAGCCCAACAGGGCAACAGGGAAACTACAGGCTGGGAGTCCACACAAGGCTCAATTTAAGATACAACTGCAACAGTCAATAAAGCTCCTACATTCCAACAATAATCCTAAAAATGATGAGGGGCAGTCTTTGTTCGTCCCCCGAGGGCAGATTTGCTTTCGAGCCACAGGAGTTTTTCCCCTAGACACTGTGATTAAAGCAAAGAAAGGAATATCCACAGTTTAGGCCCTTATCTGATAAACTGCGTGTACCTTCCACGGAGGCTCGGGATCGCCGCTTTGATGTCTTTGATGCCACAGGCCTGGATGCTCCAGTGGAAGGCTCAGTCTTAAAGAAACAAGAATGAAGAAATTAATTGATGCACCACCCAGAGAAACCAGAAGCAGATTCACGACCCCAGCTCCACTCGAGGAGGAACAGGAAAAGGAACAAGGCTGTCCACACCCTAGAGGGACGGACACCACCTGGGGCATCAAGGCACTCAGGCCTGGAGTCAGAGGGAAGCTGCACCCGCTCTCTCTAGATGGACAACCCCGCCTTCTGTGCAGCAACGAACAGGCCAGCAATCTGCCATCTGTACTACCCAACCTCTACTGCTACACATGATCACGCATCCAGAGACCACTGTGAGCACCAATCAGAGAAGACAGCTTGTCCCACTCCTCCCACCGCTGGCAGTTCCTGCCTTGGCCACCTCCCTCATCTGGCCTACCGGCCTCTGCCTGGAGTCTCTCTGTCTTCCCTGCAGCCTGCCTGTGTGCTCTCTGAAAGCAGGTTGGAGAGTGAGAGCTGGGATGAATCTAACCTTCCCTGCATGGCTACGTGGAGCTGATAGGACCCAGCCTTGACTGTCCCCCACCACCAGGGACACCATGGGGTGCCACACAGGCAGGCAGAGCCTGGCCTCCCTCTCCCGATCTGCCTGGTGACATGGTCCTCTCCCAGACGCATCGAAGTGCCACCGCCCCCTCTCCCGAATGACTGCCCTGTCCCTTTGTACACCATACATCGCACTTGCCAAGTGAAGCTTTAAGGAAGCCCAGGGGTCCACACAGGAGGCAGGAGGGTGGCACACCCCAGCTATGTGTTCAGGCAGTAAGCCACTCACATCATCGGTCCTACGACAAGCTGAGCAGGGCCCTCCAGCCTGTAGCGCACGCCGCGCGCTCCGCCCGTCTTGCGGCTAGGAGAGGCCCCGGCACAGCAGTTACTATTCCACACACCCACAGGTCTCATCTCTTAAAGGTATTTTTACAGCTTACCTCTGTTTCAGCTTTGGAGTCTTTCAGAGGTCCATCGGACAACTTCTTAGACACCTCCCCAGAGCTTGATGACTACAAAAAAAAAAGTATTTTTCTTCGTTTTAGAATTACTCAAATCCAGGACATCTAAAACACCCAGATGCAAGATGCTTCCGGCTGACAACGGCAGGTAACTGCCCCCGTCACAGATCGTACTCCCTGTGACCCCCTGTGGCTGTCATCCGTCCAGACCACCCCCACCTGCAGCAGAGCAGGGGACACACTCAGAGGCAGTGCCTCTCGGGAAACTGCAGGACAGTGTCTCCCAGACGCCAGGCCAAACCTATTGGGAACATACCGGTGAGACACGGGGGAACCAGGCAGTGGGGGAGGGGGGCCACTCCCGCTAGGCTTTGGGAGCGGGTCACTCCCAGATGGAGGCTCCCGACTGTGCGCCAGGAAAGCCCTCTCTAAACAAATGGCAGGAAAACTGTGAACACATCCTCGCACCTCAAATCAACTCCCTGGAAGACACTCCTATCAGAGACGAGATACAATCACCGAGGCTCCTCTGAAGACAGAGCAGCCTGGTGCCTGCTCAGTATTTCAACAACTAAATGTCCTCACCACTTAGTCCAATGGGACAGACAATGGCAGCCATAACGACCCTGCACAGGCCCCCCCAGCCCCACACACCCAGCTGTCCCCTCAGAGGTGACAGGGCACCGCGCGCCCACAGCCTGGGTCCTTGACACTCATGTGTCACTGCTGAGCTCTCGGAGCACTGTCACCCACCACCTCACCTACCCACAAACCCCGAGGGAGGCTGCCTCCCAAGACGCACAGAAGTTGGGACTGGTGTCTGCCTCTGTCTCCAGCAGCCCAGCTCTGAGCAGGAACACAGTCCCTTCACCCTGGTCTCACACACATTTACACAAAACCATCGCTCTCACTGGGCTCCAACAGGTCCCATATACCCACCTGAAAAACCACTCTTTATACCTGTCTCCCATCACCACCTCACCACAGCACAGCAAATGCAGTGAACAGACCAGTCACTCACTCCCTGCCTGGCGCACAGTGAAACACACCAGGATGTGCCAGCGCCTCAGAGAAAGCAGGTCGGTGAGAAACACTTCTTCTTAGACCTCTGGAAAGAGCAAGACCTGGGGAAGGTCTCTGTATTTCTCACACTCCTGCAGGAACCCTGGTTTTCATGACATCTGCCTCTAGGGCCCACGGGGGACCAAGGCTCCCAGGACACAAACTCAGTTACTAACAAAACCCGTGTGCAGTGCCCAAGGCTCCCATGCAGTTCCTGGGCCCCCAGGGCACCGCCATAAAACCAGAGGGCTGTCCCGGGAGGAAGCGAAGCTCAGGCCTTGCCCTCACCACCTGCATGGCACTCAGAATGACCCTGACCCTTTCCACCTCAGTCCCTCCTTTCTAGCAGCTGGAGGCCAGAAGACACCCCCCCCCACGACCTTCATCCCAGAACACCCGTAATCACACGACTGTGCCCTCAAGAACAGGTGCCGGAACAGCCTGGCGGGACACCTATGCCACCACAGTGAGCCCAAAGTGCCCAGCACATTCAGAAAACACTGGAACCAAACACATTTCCTGGTCAATCCTAAATTTATCTGAACATTTAATTAAACAAGAATGACAAACTGAGGACTTACTGTCCTTACCGAGAATGCCTAAAAGACTCAGGAAGCAGCCACAACCCTTAGTGAAGTGAACGCAGCCATGCCCCGGCCCCAAGGCCCACACACCAAGCCGGCCTGTGAACACTGCTCACAGCACTGAGCCCAGCTGCTCCACGGACGGAAAAACACCCAGACACACACAGCCAGAGCAAACCTGAAACCACCAGGCAAAGCACCAGTCTCTTCCGGTGTCTACTGGGAATCCAGGAGACTGTCACATAAGTCTAAACTGGCGATTAAAAAACCAGTTTCCTCATCACACTCAAACAAGAGCAACATTTTAGGAACACCACGAACCCTAAGTTCGAGGCTCACGCTTTGAAGGGGACTTACCTTCCTCTCCGGTTTATCGTGCTCTCGGCTCTTCTCCTTGCCGGGGTCCCGGGCATGCTCCCCATTTCTTACCCTCCGCCTGTCCCTGTCCCTGTCCCTGGCCTTGTCGCGCTCCCGCTCTTTCTCCCTGTCTTTCCACCGCTCCTTCTCTCTCCCACCCTCGCTCCTCCTCTCTCGAGCGCGGTCTGAGTCCTTGTCCCGGTCCCGGGTGCCTCTGTCCCTGTCAGGTCTGGCCCTGGCCCTGGTCCTCTCCCTCTCCCCTTCGCGGCCCTTGTCTCTCTCAGAGTCCTTGTGTCGATCGCGGTCACTGTCCTTGGTCTTCTCCTGGTCCCTCTCCTTATCTCTAGGTTTGCTTTCTTCTTTCAATTCTTCTTTCTGTTTTCGATCTCTGCTTGTACTTCTCTCGTTTATTTCAGAATTTCTTCTACCCTGATAAAAAAAAGGCAAATAACGAGATCACTTACAAACGTCTTTGCCCGAACTACAAACAGACTCATGGTCTCACGCTCCAGTGTTGCCGCGTAATCACCTCTTTGTCTTCGGGAACCCTGAGCTCCTCCTCTCTCACATGCCTGTTGTCGGATTCGTGCGGTTTCGACGTCAGTGAGGCCCTTCCCTTCGCCTCCCCCTTCTCTCCAGCCAGCACTCTCTTCACCGCATCATCACTGGACAGCTTGTCGTCCCAACCGTAGGAAAGAAATGGGGGATAATGGGATTAGCACACGTAACAAACAGGACCGGCACCACTCAGAGGCAGCTCACTAGAGATTCCTGTCTATCAGTGAAGTTCGAAGGCTGAGACAGAAGAGGAGGACCTGTCGTCACAGAACAGCACCCACTGGGCACTCTCACCACCAGCACTGGGAGTGGACAGCAGAGCGCATCAAGCTAAACGAATCCCATTTCGGTGTGGGCACGCTGTTCAAGGACAACTCCAAGAATGGCCCCCATTCTCCCCAACGTCGCAGAGGCCCCACATTAAAGGGCCTGAGGGAAGGAAACGAGAGAATCCCCCTGCAGCACCGGCCACCAGCCAGAGCCTGGGCACCCCTCTGCTCAGGAGTCCACTCACCCACACTCACGCACTCTCTCCACAAGGAGCACTAGACCCCAGGCCTAGGACATGCTGTGGACTGAGGGATGTGGCCAAATACAATGGTTAAACAGCCATGTACTATAGGAACACAATGGGGCACCCAAGTGGGCCTGGGCGAGGAAACTTGGGGTCCCACACGGCTGCCAGATGAAGCCGGGAGGAGGGGGAACGACCAGGGCAGGAGACCTCGGGGTGGGCACAGGTGCAGTGGGAGCGAGGACTGGAGGATGGGGAGCAGCACAGGTCTCAATGGGCCTTATGAGTCACATCACAGAGCTGTCTGTGCACCTCCCCTCCCTCAGGGCGACAGGAAGCCTCAAAGGATTCAGCAGGAAAGACAGGAGTCAGATTTGCTTTCTAGAAAGAGGCACAACATGAAGGATGTGGGGTGGGGTGGAGGACAGAGACGCCCCCTCCCCCCCAGCAAAATCAACTTCTGCACCCCCAAGCCTGAGAGCTGGATGCAGACCAGGGAGGCTCTCCTGAGGCCCCCTGCCACCCCCACTGCTGCTGTCGGCAACAAGGAAGGCCAGCCCCAGCTCACGACCACCAGGAACTCGAAGGGCTTTATTAGCTAGCCCTTAAAGGTGCAGCACCCCTCCCCTGGGGGCTGGCTCCCCGGCTCCACAAAGGCGGCAGACCCTGGGGATGACCTTCTCCAACATCCCAGCAAACAGGGTCCAGCCTGGATCTAACCAGAGACCACACTTCACACAGTGAGGACCTCAGGAAGTAACAAATCCAGTCCCCACACAACTGAAACGAGATTTCTCTGAAGGTGGGACAACTCTGCAAACCACCCCCAGGAGAGGCGGAGAGATGGAGGAAGGGATAGAGCTGAGGGGAGAAGGGAGGGCAGCAGGGAGGGATGGGGGAGAGGCGGGAGGGAGGGAGGAAAGGAAGCAGACATCAGAGGCTGGAAAGGCAGGCAGAAAACAGGGACACCCCATGAGCCCCAAAGAAGAAAAGCGGCTCCTCTGTCCACCTGGGCGCAGGTTGGAAGCAGCCATTTCCCTGAAAGGCGGCCGGAAAGGAGGAGCACAGGGGGGAAGGGGGGGCTGGGTAGGCAGCCTCTGGCCAGGAGCCCAGGAGCTGAGTGCCTGTGAGTCCCAGTTTCACACCAAAAGCCTGTTTTAAGTTACTCCCCGTAACGCAGAAGGAGAACAGGAGGGATCAGACTTGCAGCACAGCGTCCCGCACGCCACCCAGACCTCCCCCGAATCGCCGCTCCTGGGGGGTGTCGGGGCCCGGCGGCGCGGTACCTTGCTGAGGCAGCACCTTCCGATCCTCTGGAGCAGCTCGTTGGTCCTCTCGGGCTCATGCCCGGCCACGATCCGGGCTGGCTTCACCAACAGGGGCTCTCCCGAAACCATCACCACCACGTCTATGGCCTTCTGAAGGAAACTAATTTTCGCGTCTTTATCCTGAAACACGTCAAGAGTCTGCGTTACCTTCAGTGTGTTTCCATAGACAGTTCCTGTTTGCATAAAAAGCTACTTTCCGATGTCAACCTAAAAATACCAACCCTCCACAACAAAACAAGGACAAGTCACTAAAGCTTTACCGTGGCCGATGTGCCAGCACCAACCTTTCATCACCAGGCCCGCTTCTCAGTGAATAAAATCAGCACAAATGCCATTGCCGAAAGTGGGAAAGCGAAATGGAAAAGCAGGTACAGCAATCCACGAAGCAATCCACGAAGCAATCCACCTTGTATTCCAACCATTATCAGCTTACAAATGACACACATCACGGTACCCAGCTTATAAAAAAACCCATCAAGGAGATGGGGAGGGGCCCCCCTCAAACCTACCTTCACATTATCTGACTTCAGCTCGGCGTCCGTGTACAGGCCCTTCAGGAAGCCAGTTGTCCGAATCACCTTCAAAAGATAAAGCAAAGCCACGGTCAGCACCCCACGGGGCAGCCTCTTCATCAGCCTCATCCACTGAACCCCACGCCCTGGGCTGTCCAAATCTGCCTGCACCTGGGATCTAATTCATGCACTCGCCCCACAAACACGTGTCTACCACGTGCAAGGCCGTGGCCAGGCGGAGGGCAGCCTGGCTGCAGGCACAGGCAAACATCACAAGGACTTTGCGGGGTGGTAAGGGAATAGGGGATCAGTTCCTATCCAAATTCAGGAGGGGTGAGGGTGTCAGAGAATGCCTCCCAGAAGACGTCAGATCAAAACTGAGACCAGAAGCTCACAGAAGAGTTGGGGGAGTGAGTAGTGAGGAAGCACACCAGGCCAGATGGACAGCCCTGGAAAGGTCCAGGGCCCAGAGAATCAGAGCCTGAGGCCAGAGTCAGGCAGAGGCCTGACCCAGATGGCCTCTGAAGCCATGCAGGAATAGGGACTTAGCTAAGGACCCCAACGAGGCCCTGAGAGGTTCAAAAGCAGACAGCATCTTACGAGGGTGACTCGGGCCTAGTGGAAAGAATGGATCCCTCCTGTCCTCTCCTAACCCACCCCTCAGTCGACCTGCACCTCCCAAGGACCCCGAACACTAGCTCTCTGTTCCTCTGCATCCCCACACCTGCCCAGGGCCCTGGGTTCTCCAAGACCAGAGTTTTTTCAACATGAGGTAGGTTACTGTGAAATCAACACCATGGATAGCAATAGCACACTTTTTTTTAATGAAACAAAAAAATATATCAGACTGTACTGTATGTAGCAAGGATGACTATATGCATATGTGTGGGTCCCGGGTGGATATAAAGCGTGTTTATTACTGGAAGACATGTTTAACCCTTTGCGGTCGTATTAAATTTGGACATGGGTGTCGTACTGGTCAGAATTAATTTCCATTGAAAGAGCAGTGATACATAACATGCAAGATTATGAAGGATAAACAAGAGAAATTATGAACTGATACATGAATGGAGTTAAGATTCATACGGTTCCTTGCTGTGGTGGCTGAGAGCAGACATACGACCGGAACGGTAAAAAAGCTTTGGTGGCTGAGAGTAGACAAACTACCGCAAAGGGTTAAAAAAACCAAAAACCAGTCCCACACTAAAATCAACTGCTTCTCTGAGACCCAGCTACAGCCAACTATTAATTAAGCTTTCACTTCCCATCAAACTATGTAGGAGCTGTGCCATTATTCCTCCTGAGAAGGCAGGTGGAGTATTAAGAATGCCCTGTACTTCATATTCCTGAAGACTTTTCCTTTTGCCTCTTCTGAGGTTTCCCCAGCTTGCTGGCTGGTAAAATTGTGAGCAATCATTTTAAATGGCAAGAGACATTAACGTCACAAGATCAATGCTTTGGCTTATGAGGAGGCAAAGTTAGTTTAGCTGTAGCTAAGATACTGAGACGGTGACCTAAATACAACACTCAGGGGCAGTAGAGAATTTTCACACAAGGCTCCGCACCTGATATCTGAAAATGCTTTCGGAGGTGTCTGCCCAGCGACACACCAAGACCCACAGAAGGAGGCACGTCCCCAACTCCCTTCCTGACTCTGCTTCAGTGGGCAGATGGGACTAACACAGAAGATAAAAGTGTGAGGCTGTAGGTGGCCGGGCTCCCATCCTGGTGACTGACCTGTGCCCTCCTGGGTTAGAGGACACTACCTGCCCGCTTCATAGGCTGTGTCCCTTCCCCACACATTGTACAGGGCTGCACTGGCTGCAGGAGTAGGAGGCAGGACAGCCCTTTGGATGTGGGTGGGATTCCAGAGAGTTCTAGGCACACTTTGGGTGTTCAGCACAGAGACACACCTCATAAACCATGAGCAGAATTGAGTGAGGTCAAGTATGTGGAAGAGTTAGATGTCCGGGCTGCCAGAAAGAGTGAGAAATGACATCTGAGGACGAACATGGGGTGAGATCAGGAGCCCCCAGAAGCCTGCAAGTTCAAGCTGAGTCCTGACTCCACTGAGCAGGCCTGGGTTCGAGGCCTGTCCCAGGTGCTCCATGAAGACAGGAGCCGTCCCTAGGAGTCTTGGCAGATTCCAGGTAACAGTGGACGTTTGTGTGCACCTTCTGTGTATGGCACTGGGCGCAGCTCACCCAGGACACGCCAACAAACAAGTCATGGTCCCCGTCACTTGGGAGCTCGCCTTCCTTGCACTGGGGAAAAGACACAACCAGCCTCAACACAGGCGCCTGGGCCGCTGGTCAGCAAATCCTAAGGCTCTCCTGTAGCTTCCCCTTGCGGGTCCCCGACCTTCACAGCTTCACCCGCAGGTACCTACTAAACACGAGCTACCTGGTGAGCACGGTGCAGGGCCCTGGGGGGACACCTGGGGGGAGGGGCCGTGAGAAAGAATAATTTCCTTCCACGTGCTGGGCACTGAAGGAAAAAAACCAGAGAAGCGGCTCGGGCGGCAGAGTGAAGACGCGCTCTCCCAGACACGGCAGGCCGGGCAGGCCGGGCTCCCATAGGGGCCCCGGACACTCCGGGGGGAGGGGGACCCCATGGGTGACGAGGGCGGAGCAGGGCGGAAGGCGAGGCGCCCCCCGCAGAGGCCCCTGG